CTGTTTCACTCTTTGAGAAACTTGTGAGGGGCTGATATATATTAAATTTCAGAGGTGTGATTGTTAATATTGTAGGATTTTTTCCCCTTAAATGTGGATTGGAATTGTTCTACCTGTTTGAAGATATATTTGCATTGCTGATTGAAGATGTCATCTCAGTTGGTTTGCTTTTCTACTGAAATTTTTAAGTGAGATTTATTTATTTATTTTAATAATCTTTGAGGAGGAATTTTCAGTTGATGTAGCAAGAAGAAGATTCTACTTTACTAGGGATTTTTTTTTTTTTTTGAGTGTTGATTTCTTGGTGAAATACATTATTATTAGCTAGTTCACTAAAAGAAAAAAGTTTTCACTTAGTTATCTCATATATTACAACTCTCTTAGTGTTGGTTGGGGTTGGACGTGCGAGAAAAAAATTAGAAAAGAAACAAGAATAATTAGTGGTTTAGTTATGATGAATTTGAAGAAAATTAATTAACTTAAGTATACATAAACACCAACGGTCGAAATATTAACATTAGTTTAAGAAAAAGATCAACTCAAAAACAGCCCTAGCAAACGAGGGAATAATCAAACATTCCTAGTATATATAGTACATATTTGATCCAATCTATGTATATAATTATTAGACAATAATATCCTTATACCTGTTTAGTTGTTAATCCGGATTCTTATTATTGTTTTCAGATTTCCTTTCACCTCTTTCTTTTTTAAAACTATTTTCGAATTTTACCATCTAAAATAATTTTTAGTATTTTCAGATTTTGAATTTGAAATTTTAAAATGCATTATTACATTAAAATTTTTTTGATAAATATATTATTTCATTGTTGTTAAAATTGAAACATGTAAAATATGATATATTACAAATGATATAATATTGTAAAATAATAATTATACACCATTTATAACAAAATGTTAATAAATTAATTAATATTATTTTAAATTGAATTAAATATTTAGTTAGTAACTATTTTTTATATACAAATATATTAATAAGCGAACATTGAATAATAGATCGAGTAATATTTTAAATTGATATTCAATATCTAAATCTACTACCAAACATAAAATATTAAAAACAAACAATATATTTTTTATTAAATCTCTGATTTTCAGATTTATATTTTAAAATCACCGACTAACTTGTAGAAAATAATCAGATATGATCTTTTTTTTTTCTATTTATAGTTGTGGAAATAAAGAAGTAAAAAGCTGTTATTATTTTTTTTAATATATACTTCAACCTTTTTAAATTCCTTTAAATTGTACCAAAAAATATAACGATAAATTTATCATTCCATCCAATTTAATTTCCCCAACGATGAAAGTTTGAACCGATTTATGTATTTGGCTTTCCCGTCAAATTAATCTGTCGAGATGTGATTTGAAAACACCCATTTGCTCAAGGATACATCTCTCTATCGTTATTTCTTGAACATCAATTGTATGTTCTTAATTTATATCACGCATCCTTCCATTATTTTACGTCTAAACTTAAATTACTAATCTGAATATTAACTCCAAATCAACTACTTTGGCAAATTATTTGATATTGTAATTTTATGAATGACTTAGTTTTGTTTTCACAAAAATATATTCAATAATTAAACTTAATATGAAATAGTTTTCTCGTATTAAATCAAGTGTAAGTAGTTAAGTAGATGTCTTTAAGTTGAATATTATACAAATAATCAAATTAACTAACGCATCCACTAGATGCGGATGTGTTAACATATATATCCGCTAAAAATAAAAGGTTTGTATTAGAAAAATAATAATTCGGTAGGTACTTAATAGTCAAATATGTATCGTTAATAAAATATTTTGATTTAAATAGAGGAATTCAATTATTTAATTTCAACAAACCTGGAGGTAGGAGATCAAATTTTCGAAAAAGTGTATTATCCACTCACAACTATGTTTAGATTGGTTTTAATATGATTTTTATAGTTTGATTCTCAAAACTTGTTGATGTAATTATCATATTTGATGAAATTATTAGAGGAGGGAGAAAATGGGAAGAGAGAGAGAAAAAAAAAAGGGAATCGAGTTTTTGTGTGATGATGGGGCATTTGGGTTGAAAGTTAGAAACCGACCCGAGATAAAGTGGACCAGGCCCACGAAAATCTTGTTTGCGAGACAGACGCGGCTTCTGACAGCCACACGCTCAGTAAAAAGGAAAAGCAAACGGCACACGAAAACGAACCAAAACAAAAACAGAATTGGATGCTGACGTGGCCTCCTGTGGGACATCAAACCAGCACAATTTCAACCCTTCTTTTTTTTTTCTTTTGACTTCAAAATTTTGAACACATGAGTAATTTGAATTATGCTCGTGTCAGTTTTAAAAAAATTTATATAAATGTTTTTAGTCCTAATAAGTAGGCATTTAAGAATATATGTTTGAATTCCTGACCTTAATAGTTATTTTGTGCTATGAGTAATTGTTTGGAGCAAATTTATAAATTTCACCTAAGAATTGTTTTATCTTGTCATTTAAGAATTTCTTTTTTTCCTATGTCAAATTACCTACTGATCTTCACCATAGAGAGGCAGCAGGGATTATCTTGTCATTTCACCTCAAACAGAGTCTTTGTGTTCTTATTTCCTCCTTTATTATTTTCTTCTATTTTTGCGGGGGTTTTTTTTTTAAATGTTGTTTCTGCATTTAAGACACATCTTAAAAAACAATTAATTTGGATGGATTTCAATCAAATGCATATTGGGCTCGCTCTTTAATGGTGATGACCAAATCACTGTTAAAAAATTGACAACTCATTAATTTTCATAAAAACTCTCTATTTTTGCATTTCTCTTTTAGTTGTCAAACATTTAATAGTGGTGAAGACACGATTGTTTCTTACTGTTAAGGAGTCAAATATTCCTCTGGTCTAAATCAATTTTCTTGAATGAAGTTGTATAATGTCACCTCAATATACATCTCTATCTACTCTAAAAAATCGTAAATTCGAATTTTCTTTTATTTTGTACTTGTAATTTAATATTATAAAAAAAACATATGAATGTAATATTATGAATTTATATAATATTATCATATTAAAATTATTATATGATTTAGTATGAAAGCACTTTATTATTACTCTAGCTCTCGAGTATCCTAAGGTTGCGTGTGGAAATCTGCAATCTCCAAAAAGCCCGATTGATTTCTCTAGTAAGATCGTGGATCTAACTCCTAAATTCCGCGGCAATTTTTTAATTTATTTTTTTACAACAAATTAAGGTAGGAAGATTGGGACTTCTAAAAAATGAAATATGTTTATTTTTGTTGAGTTAAATTTATTTAACTTTTTATGAGGCAATAATATTACAATTAGATAAGTTTTTTCTCAACAATATATGAAGGTAAGATTTGAAACACTAATTTTTTTACAAAAAATTTAGGTCTTAATTAATTGACTTATACACTAGACTAGTATTATTAAGAAATAAAATATATACATTCTTAATTGAATAAATATACGTAAATATATGATTTTACCTTCTATTTATATTCATCATTTTACTCTTTATTTAATAATAGGAATTTAAATTTTAGTTGATTTAGCATATCTAACAAAATGATCAATGATTCAAACTTTTGACGAAATAAGTAATGCTTATGTCGACTTATATCATATATTTGTATTACCTCTCTTTTTGTCCACTTTATTTTATACATATATATACACACACATACATATATACACATACTAGGTTATCATTAGTTTATCTAAGCGTAAAGTTACTATATTTTAAAATATCCTTGATTTTTTCGGTCAAGAAAATATAAAATTTCAAACATATAATACTTTGTTTAAATTTTAGAAGACAAATGAAAATTGTTCTCAATAAAACATATACTTTTTTGTGTACTGTTTAGAAGACTAATGTAAATTGTTCTCAATAAAAACACATACCTTTGTGTTTTTTTAAAAATAAAAAATAAATCAAATTGATCTCTAATTGGAATCATAAATAATTAGATAGGGTACAAAAAATAATAGAGATTTTGGTTAGTACAGCAAATATAAGGGCAGAGATTTGAACATTCTCCTTGAAAAAAATGTAATTAATATTATAATCACAGACTCATGTAATCAATATTTATTTATTATAATATCAGGTGATATACATAGATAAAGTTTCTTTTAGTACAACACGTTGGGAAAGTGATTCGAACTCATAATTGGAGATATATACCAATTATCATCGAACTATGTTCACTTTGGCATAGATAAAGTTATTAAAAACTTATAAATCAGTATTGTTTGCAGTTTGAACTAAAAAAACAGAATATTGTTTGCTCCCTGGGTATGAGAGTCGGTATTATTACTGTTAAAAGTAAAATAAAACGTGAAAGATTGAAATATTTGAGAAGTAATATTTTTGACAATTAAATTATATTGATGTCGGCAAAATTAGAAAGTAAAATCCTTAAAAGTCACATTCTAACACTTGAAAAGTTACATAATAATGAATGCTTCTGGTCCTTTGTAATCCAATAATTTTGCATGCCTAAGCTCCGTTATATACAAATCTTAAACTTTATATTATTTAATGACCGTACATGAAAACAAAGAAATAACTAACCAAAGAAAAAACAAACATGAAATATTTTATTCACAACTCTTTATCCCCCAAATATAATGTAATCTCACAATACCTAAAAATAAGAATCCTATTATTTTCCCGTCTATTATTAGTCACACTTACACGACATACGAATGATGGAGAAAACTTTATCAAAATAATGTTGCCATGGACGATTCAGTATTATTATAAGACAAGGCAATGAAAATCAATAATTTATTTATTTACTTTTTTAAAAAACAAAGGCATTGGAAATAGAGATGGTAGGTGGTTGGTTGTTTCTTCTGATCTAGCTTTCATAAGCCTCAATCTCACTGATTTGATCAGCTCTCACAGTGGGAGACCGTACAACAACAACACAACATCAGATTCATAAATTTTCCAAAAAAAAAAAGAGTACCATCAAATTTAAAATTAAAAAAAAAAGTACCATTAAATTTTATATAGGAAGGAAACAAGCCCATTTCTTTTCATCCCAATTCCCAACCAAAAAAAAAAAAAAAAGAAAAAACATAGAAACCCCAATAGATCTGGAAATAAAAGCAAGCCATTTCTCTGAATTCTCTCCCATACCCCATCAAATCTTCCTTGATTTTTACTTACAGTCAGTGGTCAGAATCAAACCCCCATCAGTAGTAATAACAGTACTTCTTCTGCTCCTCCACGTTCAACATCATCATCCCATTATTATTACTGCTACTGTTACTGTGACTAATTACCCACTTATCATAATTTTCCCCAAAGTTACCATCCCCATAATTATTCATCAACTTCCCTTGATTATTCCCTTCAAACCCATTTGAGGAAACTAACCCACTTCCAAATTCAACCCCCATTTTGGGACTGTATCCATGTCCACCACCGCCAGATGAAGTGCAATATTGGAATTGGTGATTGCTTTTTAGGGTTTGTTCGTAGGGGTGGTCAAAGCCAAATGGGTAGGTGGCCAAATTACAGCTCCCAGAAATGGGGTTGGAATGGTAATTAAATGGGATTGAAGGGGATGGTGATGATGGGTTGAAAATATTGTTGCTCTGGGGATGAAACGGGGCGTTTTGGTGGGAGGGTGAGATCAAAGATTGAGTTTTTTTAATAATCTGTGGAGGAATAGTAGAAGGAGGAGGAGATGCCATCATTCCCATAAGTTTCTTCTTCAGTTTGGTGTTCCAATAGTTCTTTATATCATTATCTGTCCTGCCTGGCAACTGAGCAGCAATAATTGACCATCTGTATAATGTATAATTAAATTTGTCTAATTACTAATTAGATAATTGCAAAATAAGAGAAAAAAGGGTGGTTCTTGCTCTAATTACCTGCTTCCAATGGTGGCAAAGAGGGTGCAGATGATTCTGTCTTCCTCAGCCGAGAATTCACCATGTTTAATGTTGGGCCTCAGATAATTAAGCCATCTCAATCTGCAGCTTTTCCCACATCTTCTCAGACCTAATCCAAACATGCAAACAAACAACAATCCAGAAAATTCAGAAAGCAGAACAAATTGAATATAGTTCAACGGGTTAAAGCAGTGAAAATCCAAATAAAACAAATTCAAGTAGTACCAAAAACCAAAAAGGGGTCGAACATAGTTTAACTGGTTAAACAAGTGGAAACCGAAACAAGAAAATGAAATAGAAAGAGAGAGAGAGAAGAGAGATGGATATATATACCAGCTTTCTGAGGAAGGGCAATCCAATTGCCACCAGTCCCATATGTCTCTATGTAGTGTTTGAGCTGAGAATCCTCTTCAGGAGACCATGGCCCTTTTTTCACATTGGCTTTGTCACAACAAGGAGCCCTCCCCATCTAATCTCTCCCTTGATCTGTGCCTTTGTAGAGTTTGAATAATCTCTCTCCCCCTTCACAACTGAACCAAAAAGTCTCTCCCTTGGACAAGAATTAATACTGAAGTTTTCAAGCCATCCCACTCTCTTATAAAAGAACAACAGGGCTGGGCTCCACCTCCAAAAAAACTAATAAAAAAAGTGGTACATGTTTAGTCAGAATATCAAAGCAGTTCCAAACTCCTACACTAATAATTATGATCTTAGGCTTTCTTAAGAACACTTTCCATCTCAATTATTATTGACTTTGTTTACTGCCCTACCACGTCTCACAATTCTAACTACTCTCTCTCTCTTTCTCTCTATGATAATGACATTCTCCAACCCGCCGTCTGAAGAATTTGACTAATTTCTCTAAGCTCGTGTCCTTCTATTTAATGTAATTTAATTACCTAAAATTGTTGTAGCTCTTAAAATAATAATTGTAGGATTGGATTGGGATAAAAACAGGGGAAATCCAAAGGGGTCTGCAGCCTGCATGCATGAAGAAATGGATAAAGAAAGAAATTGGATGAGAATGGTCATAGCAGATAGCAGATATAGCAGAGCAGAGACGAATTGAGGCCATATTTTAAATTTAGATTTAGTTTTAGTGATGAAGAATCTTGAGTACCCTGGAATTCATCTGGTGGGTGCTTGTGATTCTGGAGATTGAACCATTCAAGAATCGGTGAAAGATGGATCATAGGCATTGACCAAGAGCCATTTTATTATGAAATAGGTAAAACAAAGTTACAGACCATGCGTCTGTTACATTCTAACATTTCTCCAATTGGACTTCCTTTACTGTTCACTGACGTCATATATATGTAGCGCTGCCAAACAAACAGTCCTAGGTTACACTTGGGTTTGGGTTGTAATCAAAATTTTCTTTCAATTCTTCCTCCATTCTCAAAATGTCTATTTTAGTCATTCAACTCTTAAATTTATCTATTTTGGTTGTTACTTTTTTTGTTGATTGAACAAAGACTTTGAGTTAATATATGATAAATGTGCCTAATGTAAACGTGTATTCCAATCACATAAGTTGAAAGCTAAGTATTTGAGTAAGTGGATATTAGGTGGAAAAGATAAAATGATATAACAAATAATAAAATAGTTATTTTTTCGAAGTTGGAATTAAAATAGATATTATATATGAAAGCCTAGAGACAAAAATTATTTCCCAATGATCTTTGCTATATTGTAATCTTCATCCCAAAGAAAATGACAAGAATGACAAGAATTACGGAGAGGGAGAGGAAGTTGCCTGGTTCAAGCACCAAAGACGATCTTCAAGCTGGGCTAAGACTCCTGCTTCCATCTTGAGGCCATTCCGAGGGGACCAACTAGATTAAAACTAGAAGAGATGATCCCAGGGCGAGAAGAAATTGAATCGATACACTCAATGCTTCTACCCCTCCTCGATGTAGCCAACTCAGGGATCTTGACTCGAATTGAAACCACTGTAGTTAGATGCAGCCTAACAACCGAGTGAAGGTTGGGAGTGGACAGCTCAAGTACGACCTAAACACAATCCCACATTCCATAAAAGAATCAGACAATAAGAAATCTTCGTCGAGAAGTTCTTTTTTATGAGCTAAGTTGCTTATAGAGGGTAATACTCTTTGATCATCGTCAAAATCGATCGACTTTCTTTTGTAATTATGATATAGTCTAGTATTCAATTGGAATGCTTTCCTATATCCTCATATCACACCTATATCATCAACATAGTTAATTTTTGAAAGTTCATTGCAAAGGTTGAAACATTAAAATATAACAAACAAATTCATGTACTAATAATATAATTTAAACCACCCTACAAATTTCTAACTGTTTTTTTTTTTCTTTTGAAATGCAGTAGGAAATTGGAGAGACCCATGTTGCAAAAATTATTATGTTATGAGGTTGATGTTCAAGTTCAATGTGTTTGGAGTTGTGTGGTAGCTCCTAGCTGAAGCCTACCTCTTCTTTGAATGTACATATAGTAACAGTATACTAACCAAAAAAAACATATAGGGGGAAAACAGTGCATGCTGTCCAAAAACAAAAACATGTCTTCGTGCATGGTTCCTAAAATATAATTGTAGCCGTAGGGGTTTCTGGTTTGAAAAAGACCACTCCTTTTGCGCCACAATCAAGTTTTGTTATTCTCATGAATTGTAATATAAAAAGAAAACAACAATATTTAATCGTAAACTGACTAAAACTTGTGGGGTTAAATAATTCTTTTTCTTTATATCTTATATTAAAAATAAATAAAAATTAGAACAATGTTGGGTATAATTATATTGGCGTTGTGGCTTTAGGACTTGGGAGACAGCTTGGGATAATTTTGTTTAATAATTTGGCAATATCCCACCCATAAAAAATATATATTTGAATAGCATAGCATCCACGAGTGGTTAATATTATCGATGTGTTTAATCTTCTAATTATAATTATTATAAAAATATGCATTATAATTAATGAGTTCGAAATTAATATAATATATAAATGTGAGGGGGAGGAAAGAAAAAAGAATCTATTGCAGCATTGGGTTTGACACAAACCATTAATAGAAAAAACGACATATATTTCTTTTCCTTTGCTTAGTGAACATGTCGGATTTTCTAAGATAAGCCCTTCCCTTTTTGTCTTTCAACTGCTTCCCGGAATCTTAATTATTTGGTCTGCAAAATCCTCCTTTTAGTTTTGATTTTTGACATGTAATGCATTGAATTAAACCTTTTTTTCTATAAGAAAAATGTAATATTATTAGAATTTTTTATTTTTTATTTTTTGAAGGAGGAACTAATTCCATTTAATTGATGTATGTGAGGAACATACACAAAAAAAAAAGAGGCACCAATGCTTACATCATAATTATTAGTAAGGCAGTAAAATATTAAGACTGGTTCCAAGAATTCATAGCAGTAAAATATTAAGACTGGTTCCAAGAATTCATATTTATCTTTGTTTTCACAACTTGAACGGGTTAAGATATATATGTATCAACAATCAGAAGGTAGTGGGTTAAAGTTGTCACTCCACACGTTGCCGTATTATATATATATATATATATGAACAGACAAACTAAAAAATGTTAATTCATGAATCTTACCCATCATTATAAGTCATCACTATATTGAATATATGATATATTTTCAATTTACGTGACAATAAATTTGTTGGAGGGTAAAATACGACCTATCACGTGACGCACTATGGAGGAATTACAATAGTCAAGCTATTGAGCTCGACTAGAGCGCATTCAAATAGCTTGGAACCCCACTGATATAATCTGTAACTAGGCTGACGCCGAAGTATCTCATGCAACCATCTATAACTAATTTTATACAACAGGCTGGAGTCGTGAGACCAAGTACTATATCCATCTTCTGTAAATAACCAATCATTTCCATATACATGTATACAATCTAATTCCTATAGCGCTTTAGGTAGAATTCGTACCATCTTGAACCGTGTTTGTTCATTTGTACAAGCCTCTCCTCATATTGAACAAACACTCTTTAAGTCATTGAGGAGTATCCTATCTTAAACGTGTTTTCAAGACAATCAGACTATATATATTGACTGAATATTACAAGGAAAAAAATGGTTTTAAGTCAGTAATAATAGTTGGGACAATTTGCAAACTTTAATCAAACTATAGAACCTAACATTTTTCTTTTTTGGGAAATATAAACCTAACCATAAAAATGAAATTGAAACATTTTAAATTATAAAAATAAATTTAAAATTGAACCCAAATCATACCACCCAATTTGATAACTTAACCTTTTTAAAAAAGAGTATCTATTCTTTTTTTTTATCAAACTGTTCTTTAAAAGTTAACCATAATTAAAAAGAAAAATCAATTTTAAATGACATTAAACATCAAAATCTATTTGTTAATAAATACAAATTTGAAATACAATTGTTCCTTCCGGTTCACTCTAATAATGAAGCGGAGTAGGACCCACCAACGGAATTAAAAATGAGAAATAAAAAGAGAGTCAAAGAATAGGCAATTTGATGAGATGGACAAAACTGGGAGGAAAGAGAATGACGTCAGCAATTGCGTGCGAAATATAAAAAAATTCAAAGATTTGTATTTGTATGTGTTTGCTTCGTCAACTGCCTCCATTTTCGCCACCACTTTTGTCTTTATTCACCTCATTGCCATTCCACCCTGTACTATAGACAAGTGAATCACATACAAATTATACAAAATTAAAAAATTTATCTGTTTATTAATTAGCCTAATGAAATATAATTAATGCTATATAATATGAAATAACTTTGCATGAATTTCAAGATTATGATCCAGGGTTTTTCACATGCATGGTTGGTGGGAGTACTTCTCTTTCTATGTTCATAATGAAATTTAATGTGCTTTGAAACTTTTCCATGCATTTGAGTAATAAATGAATAACTTTGAAATCTTAACTTAAATTAATGGTTGTCCCTGCTTTGAATTAAGTTTATTCAATTTAAAGGACGTGAAATATTATGAGGTGGGTTGCAAATTTCTTGATTAATATTTTTGTTATTTAGTGCTGAATCTGAGGAAACAGAGATTTTCAGTGTAGCTTAAATAAGTGGGGAAACTCCCTTCTCTTCTATTTCATAAGAGTGAAATATTTAACTTCAAACCAACGTTTAATTATAAGATGAAAAATAATCTCCGACCATAAACTATTCTCTTTTCATTTTTTTAATCATTTACCAATGCAACTATATGACAAAAACACTTTATTTTCATACATTTTGGGCCAAGAAACTTTTCCTACACAAAAATATGAAATAAATAATGAATTAATCTCAACCCAATGAAACATTCTCTTTTAAAATAATTTTGTTTCCTCCACCCTGATTAAAAGTGCTACAATGTCCAATTGTGGAAAGCTACCTGAACATAATTTATCGTTAATTGGTTTTTACTTATTAGGTTTGAATCTCTATACTCCTAATTTATTTGCATAAGAAAAAAAAAATCTAGTTGTGGAATTTTTTCAATAGTTGTGATTCTTTTAAAATTTATTAAATAATTTTATTCATAATCTCTACCAACTCTTTCTTTCTTTCTTTTTTTTTTTGACAAAATAATCTCTACCAACTTTTTCAAACATAAACGACGAAGTTTTAAAATTTTAAAAAGATAAGAGACAAAGAGTCATATTTCTAGTTCTGATTTCAAACCTCTTAAATAAAAAATGTGCTTAAAACTTAAAATTTAAAATTATTTTTGTATTTAATAAGATAAAGTTGTTTGACAATAGACATGGCAATGCAATACATCCACTCAGATGACTTGACACTTATTATATTGACTTGAAAGATCTCACCAATTAAAAATTTATTGATGGCTAACAAAAATCAAATCCATAACACTATTTTGTAGCACCTGGTAGATCAGATCTGGATTGAACAAATTTTTGGCCAACCTTCAAAAAGGCCCCTTGGGCTTTATGGAAGTTAATGGATCACCGATCGAAAAGACTTTTTCTTGGGCTTGGGCTTGGGCTTGGGCTTGTGCAGGACGTTTTTGTGTGAATTTATCGTCATTTGTTCATTATCATCAATTTATATTACATGTAAATTGCAACTAAATTGAAACCGCAGGAACCAAAAATAAAATAAAATCTAAATAGAAAATTTTGAAATATAAGAGGCCGTGATTTTGATCACCAATCGTCACCTAAAAAAAGATTTATGATTAAATTTATGATATAATTTTTTAAAATTTATAGATTCAATTGAATAATCGTTGGACTTTCACGTCAAGTTAAGTTAAATATGTTACTTTAATGATTTATTAAGTTAAACTAGTTTGTTGGGTAAGGTCAGCGCAGGAGGAATAGCAATGCTGCATAAGCAAAATTCCGACAGCTTCAATTATCAATACAATGGAGAAGAAGACGATCAGCTTCTGCTGCTGCAATATCCCTAAATTCTATCCTGTTCTCAATTCCCCGATTCCCATTTCATTGTTCATTCTATTGTGCCTCCTCGAAGCTGCATCTTCTTCGATTAACTCCAAACTTACTCCTCCTCCGCTTCCCATTCTCCCCATCCCCTCCGCTTCTCAGATCCAATGGCAACTCGGAGACATGGCTCTCTTCCTTCACTTCGGCCCCAACACCTTCACCGATTCAGAATGGGGAACTGGCAGCACCCACCCATCTATCTTCAATCCCACGAACCTCGATGCTGCTCAGTGGGTCCGAGTCGCCAAGGATGCGGGGTTTTCCCGTC